TATTCGTGAACACATTATAAAGCCTATACTGAAAGCATGTGAATTTATTTACCTTTTCATACCACAATGTCTTGATTCTAAATACTGATAGGCATGCAGATTGTGCAGTTCATGAATAGAGCACAACTGCCTTTATCCAAATATAATTTATTCAGTTTTGTAAGGTTTTGTGAAAGCGTATTAAGCTGATTCTGATTGGTCAGAAATTGTTATTTATATACAAAATATCTAAACAAAGAAATATATAGATGTTATTGTGCGGGACTGATATATCGCGGAGGTTGTTTTATTTTTGAGTGAATTATTGGAACGGTAATATGGGAACCCCCGCATATTTTTTCCATGGTTTATAGCGAATCTGAGGAACAACCATAGGCAACGTTAAAAAAGTATGAAATCCGCCGATTAGCAGAAAATTCTTATCCATAAGGTGCATTTTTTTCACTCCCAAGATAATTTTTATTTTGTTTTTAAACTGTCTTCAGTATAGTAATCATTATTAATATTGGTTTTGTACTAAATAACTACTGTTCTAGACTTATAAACTACAGATTAATATGTTTTCTAGTTAGGTCATCATTACCCAATTGGAATATCGTATTTGTTTTAATCAGAAAATAGATATAATAGCTTTAATTTCTTCTTTTTTTCGTTTTCAAATGACACACTGTAACTATGTTGTTGTTAGTTGCTTAGTTAATGTTAACTTTAAATTTGTCATTTGAGTCATGTGATTGAAAGTAGTCCAAACATGGTTTATAATTAGGGGAGACCGGGGCTAGTTGTTACAGGGGCAAGTTGATACAGTGCCTCTAGCTCTTCTTGAGATTAATAGACGACGATAGTTCATGGACCATCGAATACGTGTTGCGCAAGCTTTGTTTTAATGGTGGCATGAATAAGGTCAGTCACGAAATAAAAAAGGTATGTACATTTTCTGTTTTTGCATACCTAAACTAAAAAAAATGTCTAGGAAATATCTATTTACTCTTTATATACTGTGTTTTGATACTGTTCTTATTAGTTGTAGACTTCGATAGTTAATACCTCTTAATATACGATAACATTGAGTTATGTTGTTTGACGATGAATTAGTATGGAGACATTGTTATGTCGACATGGGGTTATGGGGCATGTTGTTACAGC